GTATTCATCGGTACGTTCTCCTTAGTCTCAAATTCCAATCTCACATCCACGGTTGTGCTCTTGACTGATTCGTTTTGTCGAGAACAATCGATGATTACGAATGGACCGTAACGTAGAAAAGACGTGAGGGTAAGACTTGGCTCGAGATACTCGTATCCGTAGTAGTTTTTGCAGAAACGCGCGTACGTTTCGTACAACACAGACCATCTGTTTTTTTCGAAATCCAGATTCATATCATCGTACGGATAACATTCTGAGTTCAGATAGAGTTTCACGTTGATCAAGTTGCAGTCGTCGAATCGGCTCGTGTCCTTGGCTGTGATGATGTTCTTTCGGCCTGTTTGCAAAGTGAAGATGACATATCGCAGCTTCTCCAGCTGAGTAGCGGTCTTGATGGCCCATGAATGCTTGGTTGTATGCTGTAACAGCGGAAATTCGTACAGATCCCACGAGCGAAAAGCCATGCTCAAGTATCGTCCGCTCTCCAAAGTGCGCAGCATCGATAGTTTTGTTATCTCGTTCAATAACACGTGCGGCATTCGCTATTGTATCTTGAATAAGTCGATCACGGGATCCAATGCCGAACTTCCCATCAGGCAATTGTTGTCTTTGCGCGATCGTATTAAGATCAACTCGTGACGAGCGTTGATTACCACGCGTCTGTAATCCTCGCAGAATCCCAACAGTACGTAGAGAGGTACGCAAAAGTTAAAATATCCATCCGCGTTGGTACGCGCATCTCAGCCAGCATTTCTCAGAATCACGCTTCTCTCGGATGACGTCGTACGTAGTATTTGAGCGCGCTAGTTATGCCCACGTTTCTGTTACGATCAATCTCCACGCCATCGAGCTCGTATCGAATCTCATCGAACATGAACGCCACAAATTATTTCCCAACATCACATCAGATCCGTCGACAACATTTTTCTTCGTTAATTTTCCTTCGATATATAGAAAGCTTTCGTACGGCAATGTGTACAGATCCTGTTGCTGTATGGGTATTCTTAT